CCCAATCACATGAGGTGGACACTCTTGGTGCACCCCTTTGTGGGCTTTGTGAACAGTCCTGTTGTAGTTAAGACTTGATTGTTGTAGGTATCACTGAAAGGAATTGACCTCCAGGCCAATTGGCTGTGAGGACCAGCTGTGTCTACAATGGAAGAACTGCTGTGCTGGAGACACCCTTATGGGGAAAGACTTGCTTCAGTGTAGCTTTGGTGCTCACTGAGTCTGCCCCTTGAGTGTGTCGCTTATGGTTGTGAAGAATTGTAATCTGGTATGGTCTCACTCTGACCACTGGGTACACCGGTTCTTGGATCTCCAAGGAGGTGCAAAGTCAGCCACTCAGCAGGAGTTACAGAGAGATCTGCAGATTCCTCCTTTTTGTTTGGGGTTTGGAAGTGCCCAGATGAGGCCCGGCTGTGAAGCAAGGCCAGCTGCTGCTGCTGAGCCTTGGGCCTTCTTTTGGAAGCTTTGGAGCTCTCGGACTCAGCTGCAGTTTGTTAGGTTTTATGCTGCGAAAGGATGGGCCATTCATATACAAAAGCTGCTGTGCACAGCTTGGGTGGGGTTATAAATTGGGTGGGGCGGGGTCTCTGGGAATCACCAGGGTGGAGCAAACAGCAATGGCTGCCAGTCAACCCTGCATTGGAGAGGTTCCTGCATCTCCGCCATCCGTGCCCCTACGCAGGAACAATGATCGCTGTAAGAACCTCTGAGAGAAAGCCACCCTCATGTTCTGGCCCGATGCCAGACAGTCCAGTTTCTCCCCGTATGAGTCTGGGTCCCCAGAGTCTCGCCCAGAACTGGAGTTCAGAGCAATCGGGAGCTTGTGTCTCCCTCCTGAATGAAAAAAACAACAGTGCACCCAATTGCCAGCCCGTTTCACATGCGCCTCCCACCTCCGCACCTCCACTCCTCCTACCAGTCTCAATGCGCTTTTCTCTTTCCTTCTAGTTGTAGAACTTCCACTCAGCCAGCTTTCCCGTGGGTTTGGATGATCGATGTTTTGTCTTTTAGTTGTAGTTTTTTTAAAAAAATGTATTTTATTGACTTCTTACAGAGAGGAAGGGAGAGGGATAGAGAGTTAGAAACATCGATGAGAGAGAAACATCCATCAGCTGCCTCCTGCACACTCCCTACTGGGTATGTGTCTGCAACCAAGGTACATGCCCTTGACTGGAATCAAACCTGGGACCCTTGAGTCTGCAGGCCGATGCTCTATCCACTGAGCCAAACCGGTTAGGGCTTAGTTGTAGTTTTGATGTGGTTGTGAGAGGCTGCAGGTACAGGTGTTTACCTATGCCGCCATCGTTGTTTGCTTGGGCTTTCTTTCTTTTTAAAAAATCCTCTCCCAAGGAGAATATTTTTCCCATTGATGTTTTCTTTTTTTTCTTTTATTTACATTCTTTATTGTTTAAAGTATTACATATGTCTCCTTTCCCCCCCCACCCCATTGACCTCTCCCAGGCTGCTCCCACCCCCATCCCATGCCCTCCGCCCCCTCCCGTCGGTGTCCATTGGTTATGCTTATATGCATGCATACAAGTCCTTTGGTTGATCTCTTACCCACTCTGTCCCCTGCCCTCTGTCCCCCGCCCCTGCCTTCCCTCTGAGGTTTGATGGTCTGTTGGATGCTTCTTTGTCTCTGGATCAATTTTTGCTCATCAGTCCATTGACTTTTAGAGACAGTGGAAAGGAGGAAGGAGAGGGAAAGACGAGAGAGAGAGAGAGAGAGAGAGAGAGAGAGAGAGAGAGAGAGACTTGGATGTGAGAGAGACACATCCATCGTATGCCTCCCCACACCACCTGGACCTCCTGCATGCACCTGGAGGGGAGTTAGAGATGGGACCTGCAACTGAGGTATGTGCCCTTGAATGGGAATCGAATCTGAGACCCTACAGTCCATAGGCTGACACTCTAACACTGAGCCACGCCAGCCAGGATTACAATTACTTTTCAAATGATCTCCATTGGTATAATCCACTGGCTCCCTCAGCTGCTAACCTGGTGTTGACAAAGCCCAAGGACTACCACAAAGTCTCAGCCCTCTCACCTTGGTTTTCCACAACCCAAACACTCAACCTCCAGTATCTTAAGCATGCTGCCTTTGCCCCAACTTACCAGTCATAATGCCTTTTAGAAGTAGAATGATACACTGTGTGTGTTTCTGAGTTCCTGAATTTTGCCTGTGTTCCTACTTCGTTTAAAGGCCTAATATGTGAGCAAATTTTTGATGTGATCAGATCCCCATTCTATCCCTCCCTAAGGTCACACCCTCCAATCATCCATTCAATCAATACATGCTTATTGAGAAGTTATTCTCCACCTGGTGCTGTGGGGTGGGGTGGGGGCGGGGGCTGCTGGGAATTAAACTGTGATTCAAGACAATCTTCAACCTCAAATAGTGAAAGAAAACAAGCGAACCAAAAATAGATAAAATGCTCAAAATTCCACTCAAGCCCTAGCCTGTTTGGCTCAGTTAATAGAGCTTCAGCCTGTGGACTGAAGGGTCCCAGGTTCCATTCCAGTCAAGGGCAAGTACCTCAGTTGCAGGCCAGATCCCCAACCTTGGTTGAGGGGCAACCAATCGATGTGTCTCTCTGTCTCTCCACCTTCCTTCCAATCTCTCTAAAAACAATGGAAAAATTTCCTCGGGTGAGGAATAACAACAACAAAAACCCCACAGAAACCAGAGCAATCTTTAAACACACACACCAACAACAAAAACCAATTTCACTCAAGACAAAAGAATAAACAAACAGGGTTCTTGGAGAATGAGTGAGTTGGTATGACAACTGACTATGCACAATGAAGGAGTGGCTCTGTGTGGACAGCTCTTGGTGAGACCTGGAGAAGGAGCCTGAGGAGCCTGGGGGGAGGGAGGTGAGCTTGGCAGAGAGTGCTGTCAAGCCCCTTACCATTTAGTTAGTGCAACCCAGACTTTCCCCAACCAGACAGAGCGGGCTAAGGTGAAGACTTTGAAAGAACCTAAATAATCGACATCCTCATAACTACGTTAAGGAGTTTGGATTTGGGACAGTTGAAAACCACGAAGCTTTCTAAGTAGAAGAACTTAAATACAAGTTGCATTTCTACAAAAACATGCCTCTCTCCTGCCTCTTAGCTTCCATTTCCCTGTTGCTCTGTTCTCCATTTCCCCATCTTTCAGGTGACATATTTGCTTATTTACTCATTTCTCCCCATAATGTTCTTCTGTGACAGGTCTTATTCATGAGATGGGTCTAACTTTTGGTGGATCAGTGGGCTCTAGTCCCTGTTCATAAGCCCCGGACTCCCCACACCCAGGTGCTGGACCAGCCCGTTCTGCACCTCTGCACCTCCTACCTGTCTCAGTGTACTTTCATTTTTGCCTCTCTAGCTGTAGTACTTCCACTCAGCCAGCTTTCCTGCAGTGCTGGATGATAGTTGTTCTGTATTTTAGTTGTAATTTTGATGTGGTTGTGGAAGGCCCCAAGTACAGGCTTTTTTGCCACCATCTTAAGATTTCTATTTTCCTATTTTACTTTAACATACTTATATAAAGGTGCACAAATGGTTAGTGTATAGTTAGAGGTTTATCACACCCACATATCCAGACCCAGAAACAGAATATTACCAGCATCCTATAAACCTCTCATGTCCCTTTGGTCTCTGCCCACCCAGTGGCTACTCCTCTGGCTGGTGACATCAACCAGTTGTTCTGCCTGGTTTGGATCTTTATATAAATGGATTGATCACACAATTTGTGCTCTTTTGTGTCAATCTTCTTTTGCTAGCTATATTATTTCTGTCTAGTTATATAGTTCATTTCTATATTATATTCCATTGTGTAAACACACCAATTGTAATTGATCCATCCAATTAAATCCATTACATCCCAATGTTCACAGGCATTTGAGTGGTTATGGCTATTACAAAAAGTGATGCTATTAACAGTCTAGTATATGTACTTGGGTGAACATATGTAAGCATTTCTGTATTTCATGAGGTTTTTTTTTTTTAGGATTCAGATTTGGGAATTACCATTCCCCCAAACCCCTCTGTATCTTGTTAAACTTTTTCTCACGTACTTAGTTAAACAGCTCAGTGGAGCCTCCTATAATCTAAGATTTTCAGGTAGGGTTGGTATTCCATTTTGTTTGTTTGAATAAACTTTTCTTTTAAAAAATATACTTCATTTAAGAATATTTTTATTGAATTCAGAGAGGAAGAGAGAGAGCAATAGAAATATCAATGATATGGCTACCTCCTGCACAACCCCTACTGGGGATCAAGCCCACAACCTGGGCATGTGCCCTTGGCTGGAATTGAACCTGGGACCCTTCAGTCCACAGGCCAACGCTCTATCCATTGAGCCAAACCAGCTAGAGCTCTCTTGCTGCTTTTAAGAGCCTTTCATTCTCTTTAATCTTTTACATTTTTATTATAATGTGTCTTGGTTTAGGTCTCTTTGGATTCTTCTTGTTTGTGACTCTCTATGCTTCTTGGACATCTATGTCTATTTCCTTCACCAGGTTAGAAAATTTTTCAGTCATTTTTTAAAAATAGGTTTTCAGTTTCTTGCTCCCTCTCTTCTTCTTCCAGCACCCCCAAGATATGAATGTTGGTACCCAGATGCTCCTTACACAATCCTCATTTTGGGGGGATTAATTTTTCTTTTTTTCTATTCTAGTTGAGTGTTTTCTCTTTCCTTACCTTGCAAATCACTAATTTGATTCCTGCTTCATCCTCTCTACTGTTGATTCCCTGTAATGTATTTTTCATTTCTGACTGGTTCTTTTCTATGTTTCCTATCTCCATTTTTATATTTCCTATCTCTTTGTTGAAGTTCTCACTAAGTTCCTCTACTTTTCTGCCAAGTTCACTGAGAATCCTTATAACCAGTTTGGAACCCTGTATCTGGTAGATTGTGTGTCTCCATTTGTTTAGTTCTTTTTTGGGGGGTTTTGTTCTGTTCTTTCATCTGGAAACTGTTTCTTTGTCTCCTCATTTTTGACTGCCTCCCTTAGTGTTTGTTTCTATGTATTAGGTGGAGCTGCTACATCTCCCAGTCTTGGTAGAGTGGCCTTATGTAGAAGGTGTGCTCCAGGGCACAATGGTGCAGCCCCTTCAGTCACCTGAGCTGGGTGCTCCAGGTACACATATTGTGTGGGCTGTTTGCAACCTCATGTTGTATTTGAGCCTTGATTGCTGTTGGCTCATCGATGGGAGGGATTTACTCCCAGGCCAATTGGATCCCCAGACTGGTTGTAATCACAGCAGAGAACTTGCTGTGCAGGGACCTACCCCACAGAGCAGAACTAATTTAATCAAGGCTCAGGTACCCACTAAATCAACCCCTTTAATGTGCTGTTTGTGGGAGGTGGTTGGGTAGTGCTTTGGCATGTTCTGGGGCCTCCTGGGTGGTGTACACCAAGGTAATATGCCTGTGCCTCCCTGGACCATCCTACACGAGCTACAAAGCAATCTGCAGATGGCTGCTACTTGTGCTGGCCTGGAGGTGCTTAGGAGAGGCTAAACCAAGGCCAGGAGCCACTTATTGAAAGGTATGGAGTATGCAGAGTCCAGATGCTGCTTGATTGAGAGATTTTAGGAAAGTCAGTCCCATGAGCCAAGAGAGGTCTTCTGTATGGAAAAGCCACTGGAAAGGGCTTGGGTGTGTTCACAAGTTGGGTGGTATCTCTGTGAATCACCAGGGCAAGATGAAGTGTGTGAGCCAGGTTGATGGAGACTCTACTATGGCCCAAGCCTGCAATCTCTGGGTGGGGAGGGCTCAACAAGAGAACAATGGCTTCTGCCAGCACTTTTGTCTGGGAGAAACCTACCCCTACAGCTGTCGCCCTGATGCCAAACAATCCAGTTACTCCCCATATGTCCCTGGTGTCTTTTGAGTTGCTGCCCTAGCACTGGAGTTCACATAGAATCCAAGTAAGCTTCTGTAGGCCCTTTAAGGGGAAGGCCTGGGACTCCAAGAATCCTCCGTCTCACTCAGCTACAACCTTCAAAGGTTTTTACAGTCGGAAGTTACGGGAACTTCTCTTTTCAGCAATAGAACCCTGGGCTTGGGAGCCAGGTGTGGGGCGTGGACTCCTGGCTCTTCAGGGTGGACCTATGCAGCCGAGATATCCCTCCTCATTTTTAACTGCCACACGTGAATGTGGGGCTAGATTGTTTTGCCTCTCTGCCCCTCCTACTAATCTCAATGTGGCTTCTTCTTTATATCCTTAGTTAAAAGACTTCTGTTCAGGTAGATTTCAGGTAGGCTTTCAATATCTTGCTCTCTCTCTTCTTCTGGCACCTCCATAATTTGGATGTTGGTATGCTTGAAGTCGTCCCAGAGGCTCCTTACACTATCTTCATATTTTTGGATTCTTTTCGCTTTTTGCTTTTCCGGTTGGGTGTTTTTTACTTCTTCATACTTTAAATCTTTGACTTGATTCTTGTGATCCTCTAGTATGATGTTGGATCTCTGTATAATATTCTTTATTTCAGTCAGTGTATGCTTAATTTCTATTTGGTCCTTTTTCATAACCTCGAGGGTCTCACTAGATTTCTTAAGGGTCTCACTAAATTTATCGATGGTTTGAAAATTCTTGAAAAACCTTATAAGTGTGGTTTTGAACTCTAAATCCAGTCGTTTGCTTTCCTCCATTTCTGTCATTTGTGGCCTGTTTC